CTCTATCTCAACCATGTCTAGTATCCTCGCTCACAAACACATGCACAAACACCCAGTCTCCGCTTCTGATTTCAAAATCCTATCATCAGGCACTTCTGAGTGGGATCTTCTTATCCGTGAAAGCCTATTAATATCTCAACTTAACCCTGTCCTTAATGCTAATATTAGATCTACCCCTCTTGAGTTATTTTAGTTATGTAATATTAACCTTAACTATACTAACCATACATTAATCTTTACTTATTAACTAGTTACTGATAAGTTGTTTACCTTTCTTTCTATTCATTTGTTCTTTCAAACTATGTAACCGTTTTTGTAATATTAAACCATTATTCTGTAAATATATATACCATACCCTGTAAATTCATTTAGATTGCTCTGAAGACGTTGTATTGTAAACAACGAAACGTTAGCTAATAAATTTTTTATTTTTATTATAATGTTTAGATTTGATGTTATTTGCTGGGCTCTGCTCTTTATCTTTAAACTAACCAACCCTGTCAACTTTCCCTGTGTGTGGAAACTGGAGAAAACCCACTTTCGGCAGAGCGTTGACTGACTCTTTTCACATGTGTCTGTAGCGAGAATTAAACCCACAATCTCAGAGGTGAATGGCGCTTGCTCTGACGGCTGCGCCACCAAAGCAACACTGGACTGGATCGCGCATGATTTATTCAGCGTGCTGAATGCGTCTCAACCTTGTTGAAAATTATGACATCATTAAGTCCAAGACAAAGACACGTTTAGCAATAAGCCGATAATACAGCTGAGTATTTTAGTCATGAAACGTTACTGTACGAATACAACTATGCCATTCTACGATGGAATATGTATAAATATATTGTTGCTGAAGAAAACTAAAACAAAGACAAACAATTGAAACATTTATCTCGAATACTAGCTTTGCCGTGGCACAGGCAGGTTTAACTGAAAGACAATGATTTTGAATCTCAACATAGCTACCTAAATGCGAAAAATATAGGAAAATCGCAGCAAACTTTACTATATTGGTGACATCACAAATTTCAAATAGGTCACGTCTGCTTGCGTCAGCTGTTTCCTAATAGTATCCATTTTTTTGCAACTATCTATGGTATTACCATTGGCGCGAACAAGCAGGATAGCGATTTCGTGCATGCATTAATATGATAAGTAAAAATGCTGAAAACGCAAACAGTTTTTCTGCACCCTTTTTCTTCCATGCGTGTGGACAAAATAAAATTTGTATCTCAAATTAAGCGACCACGTAATTTTTTGTTTCTCATCTGATGGGATTATAGGATCAACTACCTGAAAACATACCAATAACGTTCGAGTAAAGGCCCTAGCTTGGTCTGGAACTTAATAAATGAAGCACATTCAATCTAAACGTCGAATATATTTATTTTTCTCGGGTATAACTTGGTCATACATGATGCATGCCTCCAGTTTATTATTCTACATTAGAGTCCCACACTCAAAATTTCAATACCTTTTGTAGATATCGGCTATCAAAACCATACCTATTTAGTTGTTTATTGTATATTGAGTTTCTCACTCATTGGCACAGCCGCTTGCCCAACAGGCTATTGCTCAATTGATAGGGGATCCAAGGAATCTACGATTTTAACGTCCTTATCCGAGAAGACACAAAAGTCTAGCGTTACATTTATTGATGCCAGTGTAAAGGTATCGCTTTCTCCTCGATATTTTAAGACCTTGAGTAGATGTCCGACCAATGATTGAGCCCGCGGCTTTCCCAGCTTGAAAGGCAGTGGCGGCGCCAGGGCTCAGAATTTGGGGGGGGGGGCATTTGAGGGGCAAACTCGTATTTTGGGGGGCAAGATAGAATTTTTAAAAAAGAACTGCTGTTTGCCCATGCCGTTGTCACAGAACTTTTGCCCCCCCCCGGAGATTCGCCCCTCTTTCAAAAGGGGCAATATTCCTAGGAATACCGCCCCGGGGAACGAATATCCTAGGAATATCGCCCCCCCCCCAGAGGGGCGAATGCCCCAGAGATATCGCCCCTCCCCCCCTTTAGGATATTCGCCCCCCATATATGCGATGTGGATATTCAAATAATTTCGTGATACTTTCATCTTATTAGTGCCTTAAGGCCCATACAGACCGGACGCTATTTGGCAACGCGACGCGAATTTTCAGTTTTCAATGACATTTAACTTTAATATTTTTCATTGTTTTGCAAATATTCAGGACCACTTGGCAATTTTAGCTGTTTGGTCTGCATACCTTGTAAAATTTTTATCCGTTGACGGTTTTATTTGTTTTTGAAAACTGAAAATTCGCGTCGCGTTGCCGAATCGTGTCCGGTCTGTGTGGGCCTTTGCACGTTTGAGACTTTAACTTTGCAAAACTAAAGCTTTTTTGTCGTTTTTGAAACGTATTGTTGGAGTATTGCCCCCTGGTGCCGCCACTGTTGAAAAGCAAGTGTGGTGACCACGACATCACAAGTGCTGGTTAATTATATTGTTGGGCTGATAACATCGATATCTTAATTGCCATAAGAGGTTATATCTATTTCACATAATCATGAAGATACAATTGATGCTACCTTCATCAATATGTTTATAACGAATATTTTCATTTTTCTACAGTATCACAATCATTTGAGTTTCACGTCAAATAATGGGATCCACTATGCAAGAGTTCCGAGAACTAAGGAATGATCCAGAGTATCTTAACTTCATCGCAGTTGGTGAGGCACTGAGAATCCTAGGTGATGGCTTACGTCATTATACCGAGCAGAAAGCCAGAAAACTACAAGAGCAGCTTATAAAAAAACTTGGAGGATACTGTAATTGTCCGTGTACGCCTGGAGTAAGACCTTGTCGTCATACATGTAAGTGGGGCAAAGAATTGGAGAAATTACATGCGAATAAGAAGAAAAGTCGTATTCCGTTTCATCAAAGTGACAGTACACTGTGGCACGATCCTAATACTGGTTACTGGGAAGTTGCGAAGGTTTTCATGTCTGACTTAGGAGCAAAGTGGAGTGATGTAAAAGATCCTGCTACAACGGATTTAACCGGACTTTTAAACTTCTTAATATTCTGTAAACACTCTAACGTTCAACAAAACTTCCTTAAGTCAGTCCGCGATTTCAGAAATGAATGTGCACATACTAAGAACTATAGGTTTAGTGCATCAGAAAAACAAGCAGCGTTTGTCGCTATTGAGAACCTAATAAACGATGCTGAATTATTGTCTTGTAAAGAGGTCCAGGATTGTCGTCTAGGAGTCAACGAAGTGAAAAACGCAGATGTTTCATTTGTACAAGAAAGAGATTTAGAGGTTTTGAAGGAATTAACACGACACCAGGAATTAACACGACACCAGGAATTTACAAAGGCGAGAGAAACAGAAGCGAAGCGAGAAGAGCTAATTAACATGATCAAATTAATTAGTGTACATGTATCTGCATCAAATAATAATCGCCACCCGCATGGCTACACATCAGATAGTCAGGTGAAAGATTTGCTTGATCTTGGTATCACGTTCATTGCCATTCTTCTGCTTCCAGTTAAAGTTATAAAGGAATACAGTCGCTGGAAAGTTTTTTCATTTTTAACCCTGGTTATGCTAATGTTATCGTGCGTTAGTGATAATTCCGTTTTGGTGTCTGATTATGGTAAGTTTACAGTACTGCCTTTGTACCTTTTATTATTTTAACATTGGTATAGGCAAACGGCCTAAAATAATAGCCTTCATACATGTTTCTATCCGTGCAACTATTGTTGGCATTTATGTTATTTTTCCACAAAATTTGCTCTGTTATGAAAGCCTTGATCTAATCGTTTTTACCCACCATTTTTGCCGATATTTTACTGAATTTCTAAAGGCTCCCACAAGCACATGTACAGTATCACTTGCAGTAGATGTGGCATGCTCTATAGTGGGGAGACTGGAAGACTTTTGAGGTCAAGGTTTGATGAGCATACTCTCAATTCAAAAGCACCACAACATAGTCGTTTGGGGTCAGGAGTCATGCTGTCATTGGCAATGATATAAATATAGGAAAAACGTCTATTAATACCATAGGTTGAACAGTGTCATGTTTGGAAATAAGACACATTTCATGTATTTTGCAAAACACTGTCAATGGCCATTATTAAAATGTATTGGCAACAGATTGGTTCATATTATTGGCACTACCTCATAGATATCTTATATACTGTAGATAGCGCATCTCTTTTAGTAAAATTGAAGGCAAGGATATTCCAGCGGTTGCCCCCATTTGAATAGATGGCGGTCATGTTAGTAGTTCCCGGTCGCTAATAAACGCTTTAGAAACAACAATAACTTTCATCATTTGAATAGTTTAAAAATGTATTTTGAATAGGTTTGACTTAATGTCTAAGTTCCCTGTTTAAGAAATAGAAAACATACGAATCTTCTCATTTAATGGGGATATCCTGAGACTGCAATCACGGCTTCAATTTTTGAATTGCAGAATAATTAGATGCACTATCTAGTGTAAGATATCTATGCACTACCTACACTGGCACAGACAGTTCAAGATTTATGTCCATTGCCTGTCTATGTTTGACAAAAGGAGACAATCGCTTAGTTTCCATATTTTAAAATATATTCAGCAATGTGCACGATTTACATTTGTTTATCTTTTGTTTCGATTAAATTCATCTGATTGGCTTACTTTAATCATGTGATCGCTTTTATATTCGCTATAGTATAATTCTCACACTAACGCCAGACGATTTTACTCGTTAAGGGGACAGCGCTGCTAATCAATGTCAATGGGGTTAAAAACACGAGTCTTTTACAACCTATTTGTAGGTCAGCTAATACACCCTTCCAGAAAGTACAACACTTTGGCTATGGAGCCTCGTTTTCGTGTATGTGGCATTAGTTGAAGCCCAAAGTCTCAATCATGATAACGAGGCTCTATGTCCATGAAGGTGACGTACTTTCCGAAATGCTGTATCACAACTGGCAAGGGCCTGTATACGAAGTCAGTAGTTTCGCGCCGCGCAATTTAATATTTTCTCACCTTTTTCGACATTACATTATAACCGGGTCTAATTCAACACCTTCAGTTGCTAGGGAATTAAAGTTAATTTTTTAGATTTTTATAAAATAAATCATGCCAAAGTGAAGATTAGTTTCCAGATTTCACGCTACTAACTTCCCGACGAAGGGACTTCAGTCGAAACGTCGAAGTTCTGCTTATATTTTTTCAGGATGGTTTAGGTGCCTGGTATTTAACGAAGCCAGTATAGAAGAGCGAGAGGCCCGATTAAAATCGTCGCGTGTGCTCCAAGCTTGATTGCGCAATAATCGCGCGACTGCATGCAGTGTGCTCATCTTGCATACCAATTTTAATGAACGTTTTTGAAAACTTGAAAATTACTCACTCTGAATTCAGCTCCGCCGCCTGTTTCACTACTGTTAGTCATCGGTCCCAATGTGTGAGTTTAATGAACACAGTTAACTGGATTAACTTCTGTGTTTTTTTGTAATTATAGGTTGCTCACATCCTGTGAGAATATCGCCAATTAACTCGTTTGGCTTCAGTGAATTTGACTTTACTCATCATTTGTCTTACAAACGTGAGAAATTCTTTGGAAGAAGTTGGTTCTTCAGGGAACTGGGTGACATCTTCGAAAGCATTCATGGTGACGAGAAAGGAGTTCTCATAACTGGAGATCCAGGTTCTGGGAAGTCAGCGCTCATGTCACAATTGATTTGCTCACCTTTTTCCAAGTTCGCAATTCACGACAACATTATTGGATATCATGTCTGTGATTATTCAGAGGAAGTTACGCGAGATGGTTCTTCTTTTGTGCGTAATTTAGTGGATCAGATTGCAAGTAATATTCCTGAGTATGCTAGTCGTGTACTTGATAAGAAACAGATTCGAACGCACCTTAACAAACGTTGTGAGCGAGATCCAACTGCGTGTTTCTTTACGACAATTATAGGACCTCTACGAGAATTGAAAATCAAGCCTGACAACTTTAAATATATTGTAATTGATGCCTTGAATGCATGTATTGAAAAGGACAGAAAAACGTCAGCGATAATTGACATTCTTCATAACAAAATTTCTTACTTTCCTCAATGGTTAAAAGTTATCATGAGTTCACGAAATTGGACAACAGTAACTTCCAAAGTGCCTCGAACAGTGCAGAGAATATCTTTAAATCCTCATGATGAACGAAACATCGAAGATATTCGTTGTTACATCTCACGATATTTGAGGAGAAAATCTTCTTTTGTAAGCAAACTATGGAACGCAATTCCTGAAATAACTGACGAACTCACGAAACATGCAGAGGGCAATTTTTTGTTCGTGAAGACAGTCTTGGAGAATAATCTGGGCTCTGACGGTACGATTAATGCATATTCATTACCAAATAGCCTGCATGACATTTATAACCAGATATTCCAACGATATTTTATGAAAGAAGATTCTGCTCGTTTTGAAATCCTTTTCGAAATTCTTTTGGCTGCCGGATCTTCGCATGAAACGGAGATCTTTGATATTCTTCAAAACCAAGGTAAAGGTGAAGATGTTCAGACTCTACTTGCGCACGTGTCTTCTTTATTGCATTTTGGACATGACGGTGCTGTCAGCATCTATCACCAGTCTTTTGCTGAATGGTTAGTAAACAACGACAATCGTGTGAATGGATTTTCGTTTCAAAAACATCGAGGTCATGCGTACATTGCTGACTTACTTGTTGAACGTACAAAGGACAATAGTACCATGACATTTAAACAGCTATCTCGACTATGTATGCATCTGTTAAATTCTGGTAGCCCAAGCGACAAGCACAAAAAGCAACTGGCACTTATGAACGTTTCAAAAATTCGCAATCAACAAAACGGTAAATTTATTATACATGAACTTGCTCAAAGGCAAAACGGTTCTCGGTTGTTGGAAATTTTTCTTCCCAGCTTTTCCTCGGCTGGTGTTCCTGATTTTAACGGCAAATCACCAGCGTATTACGCAGCCCTGGGTGGACTTGTGGATAATTTAAAACTATTCATTAATTACGGGATATGCGTTAATTGCATTCTAAAGAATGTATCTTCATTACATGAAATCAAAGCTGCAATGAAAATGAAAGGATATGAGGAATCCAGCATAATGCATATTGCAACTTATAATGGTCACACAGAAGTGGTTGATACTTTACTTAAACATAATGCCTCGTTTATTCAATTCAACGAGTATATACCGACATTACTACACGTCGCAGCAGAAAGAGGGCATCTAGATCTTGTTAAATTGCTATACAATAGCGGTGATCAAGCAGACATCATCTCCCTTCATCATGCTGCCGCAAGAAACAACTTTTACGTTGTGAAGTATCTTTTAGAAACTGCTGGCGTGAAAGATGAATGTTTGGAGTGTAAACCTATGAAATTTCCTCATCTTCGGCGAAACAAATCATTGCGTGAAATTCATAATATGTTTTGTGAAACTGCTTTACATGCTGCCGTATCCAAGGGTCATACCAATATAACAAAACTTTTATTACAGTTTGGAAATTCGGCAATGGAGTGTAAACATCATTCAGGAAAGACGCCTCTGATGGATGCCGTAGAACAAAATGACACTGAAATGGCGGAATTATTATTGCAAAACGGTGCAAATGTGGAAGAAAAATGTGGCAACGAAATTTCACTCAATGTTGGTGAAACGTCCGGTGTTCGATCTCTTTACGGAAAACGATCTCTGTATACTGTTTATCGCGAAAAAACGTCTTGTGCATGTGGGAACAAAGCTCTTCATCTTTGTGCAAAGTATAGATTGTCGCGCATGGCAAAATACTTGATTAACAATTGGAATGCCAGTGTTCTTGATAAAAATTGCAATGGTGAAACCATTTGGAAAATTGCGAGCTTATCCCACAATCAAGACTTTATTGATCATATGACTCGAATGTTGCTTAATTTGGACGATCAACCCGACTCAAATGGAAAATCATGCAAAATGGGTCAAAGACAACTCCGTACTTTCAAAAAATTATTGAGAAAATTTTTCATGAGAACCAAACCTTACCAGTCTAGCTTCCAATGTGATTCAACATTTGAAGGGATGTCGCCATTACATATCGCAGCATTTATGGGAGTGGATATGTTAAATCGTGTGTATAAGAAAGCCCATGAAATTGCGCCAAGTTTACCTTTAAATTGCACCAACAAACATTGGATTACTCCTAGATATTTAGCGCATTTTTATGATAGTATTCCTGCTTTGACAGATGAAAGTCCAAGTCGTCTAAAACAAACTCCTCGCAGCAATTTTAATGAATATGCAAATACTATGTTACAATATCCTGATCGTGAAGCGGAGTTTCATATGATTTATAATTACTTCTATGATTCACTGGATGAATGGAGGTACTTTTCATTATACCAGACGTTCAAGTCACTGGAAGATAATGGTATAGCCAACTGCCCTGGCTATTATGATATGCCCACAAAAGAAGCGCTGGAACCATCTTGCGACCGATACTCTTCCACTACCAAATCTGAAAGAGACACTGATGATATTCCGCAAAGTGCTACAGAAACTATGTTGCATAAAATTCGAAACTGTAAAATTGTTTGTATGTCTGTGTTAAAGGATTGCAAGGATTCCACCGAACTGGAAGAAGTTACGTTTAATAAACCAGAATTTACATCGTCTATTAAAGAAATACAAGAATTGATGATGTGGGAGGAATATATGATAGACTGTGGATGTCCTAGGATTTTGGGTATGTTACAAAATATTTTTACTCTGCTCCCGAAACAAAATCGTTATGTCAATCAATTTATTTCTGAAAGAATGGGTTGGAAGGAAACTTCGTCCGACGGTGAAATTGTGAAGCGCTGGCCAATGTACTTCTTCCACAAAAAATTGAAGAATGAATATCAGTCTTATAAGTATCTTGACATTTTAAACGAAGGTTTTAAAATTAAGATGAGTATTGATGAAAAGGACGATAACTAAGTTGATAGGTAATTGGATATTATAACTTGTTTTTATGGGTTCTTTTTGCAAGACAATTGCGAGAATGGATGGTCTACGACTTCGCAATAACAAAAGTAAGAGGTGGGTTGTGCTTATATTCTCTGTAGCTTATTCGGTGGATAATAGATTATCTACAAATCAAATCTATATATATTATATGTATGTATTTCGAATATATTTGCATGTGATTTTGTACTTCTTGCATCTACATAAGCGCTCCTGTAAAGGCAGTAATTTTATTCTTGAAAATATTTGTTGCGATATTATATTTTTGCTACAGACAATAAACGTCTCAAAATTATTTACTTACAAAATGTTTTATCTTTTATATGAATTAAAATTTTTTTTTCCAAAAAGCATAAGCGACAGCCTTTCTGAAGTGCTTATAATGTTTAGAAGGGTGGCTTTGATGGGTGGATATTGCAAGGAAAAATTTGTCTAACATAATATTTTACACGAAAATGACCATGCATCACCCCAGGTAAACTGCTAATTATGCATAAAATAACTAATATACCTGGCAGAAATTAAATTTTCTTATTTCCTATCATGGGATGAAAAACTACGTATAATTCAATATAATTATTGTGGATTTCATAAAGATTGTCATTGTTTTCTTTAAATATATTACATTTTATTTCACTTACCCCCCACAATTGCAGCCATATTTTGCCGTTTTGTTTGCTTTTTATCTCGAGTCTCGCAAATATTATCCAGTTGTTGTACTTTTACATAATGATAAATGGCTAAAGAAGAATAGAAGATTTCAACCAAGTTTCGTCAAGTTTTGAAGCAGTGCAGTGTATTTTATCTTTGATATTATTTCCTTCGATATTTCGTCAAAGATGCCGCCATTGCAATGCCTCCGCCGCTTCTCTGCCCGATAAATGCCACTTCTTCGTCCTCATATGTATCGAAGAGTACTTCATTGTAGAATAGTCTCAATGGAAAAATTGAAAACATTAGTTGCACACTTGCACTTGAAAGGAAAAATCCTCCCAGAACAGATTTAAGATCGAAATAAAAAACAAAGAATTTGAAAGTCACGCGCAAGTTCGCGAAAACTCGTCGTGGGCTACATGACGGGGAGGGGGGGGGGGCGGATATTTTCATGAAACGTTTCTTTGCCACTACATCAACCAAAGTGAATATATTATATTTATTGTATTTTTATGATTTATGATAAAAACAATAAATATTTGCGTATTTTTATTATCAATCATAAAAATACAATAACTATAATATTTTTAGTTGGGTTGCTGTGGTGGCGAACAAACGTTTCGTGAAAATAATTTGCACCCCCTATCAAGTAGCACGATGAGTTTTCGCGAAGATTGTGCGCGTGCATAACTTTCAAATTATTTGTTTTTTATTTCGATCGTAAATCCGTTATGCGAGGTTTTTCTTCTCAATTCTAACTAATGTTTCGATCTTTCGATTCGGACTATTCTACAAGGAAGTACTCTTGGATACTGTAATTTAAATGCATATGAACACACAGAGAAGCGGAGAGCCATAGCCTGCGAACAGGCTGTCAAGGTAAAATGAGAGCCTGCATCGATGACTAATGAATTTGAATATCTGCCCCGTAACGTTCGTTTTTCAAATATGAAATGTCTATCGTTATATGGTGTTGTTTACAACTTTCGTGCAAACTAAATTTAGACCGTGCAAACTAAATTTAGACTGTACAGTTTATACTGTTTTTCGAAATATAAGATATTCAAGCAAAAATTTAAATGTTTTAAATACTGTTTTCTCAAAACAGAACATTTCGTGCTTTGAGATAAGATGGCCAAGACCAATTTGATCAGTTAATGTGTTTTTATGCATAGTGCTTCAGCAGTTGACATATATAGAGCTCAGCGGAAACATATAAATTATAGCATCTGAAGCATCTGACCAATGAGAATTTCGCGTCACGATTTTAGACGAAGATATTCAAATTCATTAGTCATCGATGCAGGCTCTAATTTCACCTTTAGAGCCTGTTCGCAGGCTAGGCGAGCCATTAAAATGGCGGCATCTTTGACGAAATATCGAAGGACACAATATTGAAGACAAAATACACTGCACTGCTTCAAAACGTGGTTCAAATCTTCTTTAGCCATTTATCATTATGTAAAAGTGCAATAACTGAATGATATTTACAAGACTCGACGATAAAAAACAAACAAGACGGCAAAATATGGCTGAAATCGTGTTTCAGAAAGAATAATAGATAGATAGATAGATAGATAGATAGATAGATGGATGGATGGATGGATGGACGGACGGACGGACGGACGGACGGACGGACGGACGGACGGACGGACGGACGGACGGACGGACGGACGGACGGATTGACGGATAGACGGATAGACGGATAGACAGATAGATAGATAGATAGATAGATTGATTGATTGATTGATTGATTGATTGATTGATTGATTGATTGATTGAAATCTTTATTTAAACACGGTGGTTTTATCAAATGGAATAAATAATAATTATTTACAATTTGTTCTTCCTAAAAGCCATGTATAATTTACGATATACGTACATTTTTACATTTTTTTTGAATTTTTGAAAGAAAAGAGACTATTTACAATTATTCATAGAATAATAATTGACTGTGTTGGTGCAGATAGCGGATGTTCTAATCTTTTTATGAACCTTTTTAATGAAGGCTCGTGTTTAAGTTCGTCTGGGAAAGAATTCCATAACTTTGCTCCAGTGAAAGCAAAACTTGAATTATAATAATCTGTTCGATTTACAGGAAGCTCGAAATTTAATTTGGATTGACGAAGGCTATAATCATTTAAGCTACTATGAAATGTAAACATTGCCATTAAATATTCTGGTGCAAGACCATGTACTATTTTATACATCATAATAGCTTTTTGTTTTTCTCGCATTTCTTTTATATTCATCCAGTTTAATTCCGCCAAAATCAACGAAGATGATTTTAATAAGGGTGCTCCCGTAATTATGCGCGCCGCTCTGTTTTGAAGAACTTGCAATTGTTTTTCCAATGTCTCACTTATATTGTCCCAAACAATTGAACAGTAAATAAAATAGGGTTCAATTAATGCTCTATACAGAGACACAAGATTTTTCCGACTAAAGAGTTTCTTCACTTTACGGAGGGCTGCAATATTACGGGATACCTTTAAACGGATGCTCTGGATGTGTATTTCCCATGTTAAGTTCTCGTCAATATCGACACTTAAACACTTTACAGATTTAACTTTACTTAATGTCACATTATCAGCCGATAATACTATTGAATCGTCAAGCGCCGACAATTTTTGTCGTGAGCCAATTAGATAGATAGATAGATAGATAGATAGATAGATAGATAGATAGATAGATAGATAGATAGATAGATAGATAGATAGATAGATAGATAGATAGATAGATAGATAGATAGATAGATAGATAGATAGATAGATTAATTAATTAATTAATTAAAAACATGACAACCCGCGGGTTGAATTACGCTTCTAACTTTACAATAAATATTTACTTTATCTAAAATACATTGTAGAATTATGTTGTATAAAACTATTTTTAAATCTATTCGTCGTATTAATAGAAACATTAAAAATGTTCTCTTTCCTCATATTATAATTTGAAAAGTTCTTACTTGGTAGTAATTGGTAAAGCTTATGACTTTCGTCATTTGCAATGTCATTAAATAGTTAAGTAGTTAGAATTTGTCTTCTATTAAATAATGAGTCAATTCCCGCTTTTACCAAAGCTTTCGCATAAGGTAACGTTGAAAAGATGATATGAAGTGCTCGCTTCTCTAACTTCTCCAGATCTTTGCATAGGTAATTGGGTAATGAGTCGTGGAAGACGGGACAAGCATATTCCATCACAGGACGCACACGTATGTTAGTAAATCCTTGGTACAGATTTTTGTTCTTTTTAGTTGACAAAGGAAGAAGAGTCTTGTTGAAACTTTCTTCACAATCTCTGAAGTGAAATCAAATGTATTATATTTAGAGTAAGTGAAATAAAATGTATTATATTTATAGAAAACAATAACAATCTTTATGAAATCTACAATAATTATATTGAATTAAACATAGTTTTTCATCCCATGATAATGTTTTTTAGGAAATATGAAAATTTAATTTATGCCAGGTGTATTAGTTATTTTGTGCATAATTAGCAACCTCGTACCCAGGCTATTTTCTCTTGTGCTCGGTGCACGGCCACCTGCTGAGAAAATACCTTGGTATTGTCTGGTCACGTGTCTCCCAGAATCTGGGAGGTAACAATGAATTTCTATTAGGGTGGGTAACTAAGTAGCGTTTTGTCATTGAGCAAGGAGTGAGCGAAGAAATAACGCAGAAATCATGCGGGAAACATTAACAAGATTGTATATTTTATTTGTCATGAATACTATCCAGTTACACAATAAGGAATATCAAATTTCATTGTGCGCAGAATGACGGTGAGCAAAGATAAATCAGATTTCAATAGACAAATTATGCTACACGGCTCGTCGAATAAATCACACGTCGTCGCAAACGTTATAAGAAAATATATTTCTACACCGACCGATGTGGCTTTTATTTAGCTGTTGATGTCTATTCTAAAGGATTTATTTAATACTGAGATGTGGAATTGTAACGAAATAGAGAGATCTTTTGATTTCTGAAATATCGCAAACTACAAACGGAACAAACCTTGCTTGTAAACAATGCTACTCGGACTGTCATTAAAAGCGCTGTGAAATTTCCAAATTCCAACATTGTCACGGACTTCGCTGAAACTTGATGCTCAAGAAATATGTCGAAGTATTTAGTATACTTCCCTGTTATCAAACCTATGGTAAAAAATCCGACAATAGCCTCAAAGATATTAAGTCAAAGACTCTTCTAGCTGTGTGTATCAGTGTATGTTTTATACAGATACTAATACTGTATGTGACTGCATATTTGTAATATATGTTTGACATTAGAGAATACAGACCACATGTATTTAGAGAATACAGACCACAAATTTGATAAATAGCTTTAATTGTGACATTGGCTTTACTGTATTAATTTGTTGATCGATGTTTTATAAACTGTCAGTATACGCGAGAAATTTTTACTTTGTGAAATATAATACTGACTTTATATTATGCATGCTGGTGTGGGACACTGCATGTTATTCTGTTTAGATATCAATATAAGACATGTATAGTGTTAATTAGCCTACATATAGTTAGAGTCTAAATATGTTGCACTAGAGATAAACGGCTCCATTGCTTAATTCATGGAGGCAGAATTGGGGAAAAAAGGCTAAAGGCAGCCGTGATTGTATATACCGCCTGAAATACGCATTTCCCTGAGGCTGAGAATTTTTGTTTCGTTCCCCGCAGGAACGAAACGGTACTGTATTTGGTTTCGAGCAATATCACAGGAAAGTGACGTCAGAGATCAAAGTTATCCAATCCTTTGCCAGTATTCTTGCTGAAACGTCAATTACATTTAGAATCGTCCAATGAGATGACCGCTCCTAGCATATTTTGAGTGGATCAAAATCAAAATGGCGGAAGGTCATGGATTTTTTAACTCGTTCAATAATACAAATTTCAGACCAGAGAACGTCGATATGAATGCAATAAAGCTATTAAATGATGAAGCTAACTTAACTTATACTGGTAGTCGTATAAAGTGGACCGGTGACCTTAATTCATTAAAGAATTATGTCGAAAATGTTATTGGTTTGACCGGCACTTGGAAATCACCTGGTGGAAATGCTAAGCAGTTTAAAAGTTCAACGTTTGATTTTACTTTGACCTGGTACCCGGGAAAGCAGAACTCGATATTGCTTCATGGAAAGGATGGTGAGCTATTCAAACAAATTCTGGTAACAGTTTTAGATACAGATCACATAGTAAGACAAACAGATGCTATGTTAGACAGTTTATCAGTGAACACAGCGGAGCCACAAGGTACCAACAATAATGCGAGCGCTCCCGAACTACTAAAAACAGCTGTTAAAGACTGTGCTTCTCAGACTATTCATGAAAGCCCTCAATGTAAAAACTGCGGAAATTTGAGGGCAGAAATGTCTGAATTTGCTGAGAGACTGAATTGCTTATTCGATCTAACGCATAAAATTTACAACCCACTGAATAAATCGGTAACTACTGACCCACTTCCAAACTCAGGGCAAAGTTTGATAAACAAAAAAGACACTAACTCTGGGTATTGCGATCTTTCTGCTGACCTTGAGGGCGTTAAGTTAGATGTTGTAATAATCGAATCTAGATTTTCGAACAGCATTTCGGCAAATCAAAACGAGATTGGTAAAATAAATAAAGAGATTAATCACTTTCGTGATCAATTGTTCATTATGCAAAAGGAGCAGCAAAAGACTTCTATAGAAATTACTAATCATGATGCAGTAATTAATGAATTATCCTCTCAAGCGTGTTCTTCACAGGACATTGCACTCGAGTATAATTATCAATCTGGTAATGCGTCAAATTATGATGCCGGTAATGAGGAAAACGAAAGCGGTAATTCTATGGTAGCTAATGTAGAATCCAGTCAAGAGGAAAATGCAAATTTAAACGCCTCAATGCAGTCGAATAAAAGTTCTGAGAGAGAAATTTCTATAGTTTTGAGTAATGATGGTCATAATCCCGGCCTTGATGCTCCTACTCAGCTTGTAAAGCCAAATGAGATCACATCGCAAATTGCAACCCAAGAGCAATGTTTAAATGATGCGAAATTGAACACTATTAGTGTGGGCGAGAATAATTCCGTTTCTGAGAGCCCAGCACAAATCCAATTACATATTTCAAATATCTCGAATAAAGCTCGTTACGCAAATAAGAGAAAGGATTGTAATGGCAACACACTATATTCATTAACCCAGACAAAGTCCTCCGATAGCACACATAGCCAATTAAATGATAAGCAAGATGGATATATACGACAACGCTTTTATCAGAATAATAACGCAAACCAGTCCAATTATAATAATAATCAGCAACAACCCATTCCCACCCGTATTGCTACAAGGAAACGAGTAAAAAACGTGGGTAGAAAATCCAATTTAAAACGAAATGAGTGCAAAAATATTTGTACTGATTATTGTAAGAGTAATATTTCAAAACCCTACGAACAGTCGAAAATTCGAAATGGGAATAATGGAAGAAATAACCAGGATTTTCGTACGGAATCATGGGGAAGAGACAAAATAGGGTGGTTCCAATTTTATTATTAGGAAATCATGTAATGAGTGCTGAAAAAGATGCAAATAGTCCCTCGAGAGATACTAAGAATACGGAACGAACTCGATCTGTAAATTTTAATAATTTAATTTATGTCAATTGTACAAGGGAACAGAAGACTTATTTTATGCCTATCAACTTTTGCCTGTTGAACACCAGATCAATAAATAGGAAAGAACTTTTTATTAATGATTATGTGTCTGAGAACGATATTGATATTCTAGCAGTGACTGAGACATGGTTACGTGAGGATGATAATGAATTTTCTACTGCTGAAATCTGCCCAACGGGGTATCACTTTTATCACATTACAAGGAAAAATGCACGAGGTGGAGGAGTTGGTCTCTTACTGAAGAAATATATTAAAGTCAAAAAACAATCTCAGAGAAAATTCTCTTCTTTTGAATATATTGATGTCACCTTGAACTGCCGTAATACCTACACCAGAATGATTGTCATTTATAGACCACCCCCATCGAAGACTAATAAATTAAGCAGCTCAATATTTTTTGAAGAATTCTGCATATTTGTGGAACAGTTGATCATATTACCTGGCAATATATTAATGGCAGGAGACTTTAATTTTCATATAGACAACATTGGAGATTCAGATACTATTAAATTCAACAAGATACTGGAATCGTTTAATTTACAACAGCACGTCAATGGGCCAACCCACAAGAAAGGCCACACCTTAGACTTGATTATAACAAGGAATGAAGATAAATTAGTGACTGGTATCAGAATACATGATCCAGTAATATCAGATCATCTTGCCATACATTGTACATTACAGTTAGAGAAACCACCATTAGAACAAGCTGAAATTTATTATCGAAAATTAAACAATGTAAACATGGATAGTTTCAATGAAGATCTAAAAGTACTAGATTTAAATGACGATTATGATCTTTCAGTCCTTATTGATAAATATGAAAATACGTTGAAAGAAACATTACAGCAGCATGCTCCACAAAAACGACGAATTATAACTCTTCGTCCTTTATCACCATGGTACAATGAGGAGATTGGTCAAGAAAAAAGAAATCGCAGGAAACTAGAGCGCCGCTGGCGCGCATCTGGACTATGTATTGACAGACAGTTATATGTCAAACAATGTGAGACAGTGAATGCCATGATAAAGAATGCTAAGACAACATACTACTCATCGGTTATTTCCAGTAATGCACATAATCAGAAAGTGTTATTTAGTACGGTTGATAAATTACTCCATCGAAAGCCAGAAAAGCGCTATCCAACTGCGTCATCAACGACTGAACTTGTGAATAAATTTTCAGATTTCTTCAATAATAAGATTGCTATTATATGGAAAGAACTAGCCATCGATTCTTCCCACTGTAATCAGCGAAATCAAGAGGAACAATATGCACAATGCGTTAAATTCATTAACTTTCAAGAAGTCACGGAACATGAGATTGAAAATGTTATTGACAAAGTTGGTAAAAAATCTTGTGAACTTGATCCAGTGCCCGCAAAAATCTTTCAAGGTTGTCAGAAGACTCTCTTACCTATAATTACTAAGATCAGTAATGAGTCACTTCAGTCAGGTTGTATGCCTGAGATACTAAAAGAAGCCGTGTTGAAACCAAAACTAAAGAAAGATTCGCTGGATTACGAAGAATACACAAATTTCCGACCTATTTCAAATTTAAAATTCCTGTCTAAAGTAATTGAGAAGGTTGCTGCCGGTCAGCTTCTGGAACACTTGGCTAATAACAAATTAGAAGAACCCTTCCAGTCGGCATATAAACGTTTTCATAGTGCAGAAACAACCCTATTAAAAGTACAAAACGATATTCTTGTAGCCATTGATAATCGTAAGTGTGTGGTGTTGCTATTACTAGATATGTCAGCAGCATTCGATACTGTTGATCACGAACTTTTACTACAACGAATGTTCAAAAGATTTGGGATAGATGGGCAAGTGTTGAGATGGTTTCAGTCCTATCTTCAGAATAGAACGCAAAGTGTAGTGATTGACGGTGTTAAATCTATCTCTAAAGACTTGCGCTGTGGAGTCCCACAAGGATCAGTTCTCGGCCCTATACTATATTTACTATACACTTCACCCCTTGGTGATATCATCAGAGGTCATGATCTTGATTTTCACTTTTATGCAGATGACTCGCAATTATATCTCGCTTTTGAGTCAACCACTGAAGGAAAAGCGGGAGCACTGGTACAAATCGAAATGTGTGTAAAGGAGATTGATTTGTGGATGGTCAAAAATAAATTAAAATTGAATGGGGACAAGACTGAGTTACTAGTAATCAATGCACGAAATCGTTTATGCCCTGCTGTACACCATATAGAAATATCTAAGTCAATAGTTCAACCAAGTACTTCAGCACGAAACATCGGTGTAACCTTCGATCAACACATGTCCATGGATAAACATATTACCAACATTTGCAAGAACTGTTTTTTCCATTTGAGAAAAATAGCAAGAATAAAAGAGTACTTATCAAAATCAGATATCCAAACCCTAGTTCATGCCTTTATTACATCGAAACTAGATAATTGCAACTCTTTGCTATACGGACTACCTAAATTTCTTATAGATCGATTACAGAATGTGCAAAACTGTGCTGCTCGTCTGGTGACAGGAAGCAGAAAATACGATCATGTTACTCCATTAATGAAACAATTACATTGGCTCCCCATCAGTCAACGCATCATCTATAAAATTGTTCTTATCACGTATAAATCTCTGAATGGCTCAGCTCCACATTACATTAATAATATGCTAAAACCTTACACACCATCAGCAAATTTACGCTCCTCATCCAAAGGATTGCTTACCATACCTTCAGTAAAACTAGTGAACTATGGTGAACGATCGTTCTCATATGCTGCACCGAAACTGTGGAACGAACTGCCAGAGTATATTAGAAAGAGTGAGACCTTGCCTATTTTTAAAACCAGATTAAAGACACATCTTTTTAAACAGTATTATGACTAAGTTATTATTTTAACAAGATTATTAGCAATTTTATAGTATTCTATATAGTTGTTGTTTTAATATTATCAACATACATAACATAAAGTAATTTTATATTCTTAACGAGAAGAGCATATAATTATTTTTTAGTAATTTTATAGTATAGTAATTTTAGTAGTTAATGCATGCACTATGTTCTAACACTTAGTATATATTTTTAACACTTGATGTTAAGCGCTATTGAGCTATGGGAAATGGCGCTATATAAATGAATTATAATAATAATAATAATAATAATAATAATAATAATCTCTCATACTCTAGTATTTTGAAGATCTATCCTTGGGAACAATTAAAATCGATGTCATTTTACTCAAATTTCCTTTAAATTATTTTTGGGGGCGATTGATGTTCGATCGACTGGGTTACAACTTGATACTCCGAATGAAGGCCAAATATCGACATATTTTCAGCGCTATTTTTTAATTCAAGTTCATACCTAAATTTCAACATTTTTGCTCAGAAGTATAGACTTATCCTTCTATTCTCGCGGGTGATACGACATAGATCATTATTCTTTGGTATAAAATAGAAAACAGCGTAGTTATTGACCCTCCTGAACGGATAAAGGATATCGTCTCAAAATATGTCAACTTCGAAAGCTTATTTCAAAATCGTAGCACTTGATCGGCACATGACTTTAACTTTTCTATAAACTACTAACATTAGTCAACACAAATCGCCAATAATATCTTTCTGATCTACCATTTGACAAAAATGACAAGCGCGCAACTTTGTAAAATTTGAAAATGTGTCGAAATAGAGCATACTTTATCGGTAAACATAATTATTGATATTAACAGATAAAATCACCTTACACTACACTGAATGAAGCTTCATTATGTAATATATGTCTTTCATCATTATTCTTTGGTTTGAGTACACGGTTTGGCTTCACGGATAGAGTCATTCAATGCTATACAATCTTCGCTCTGTTCGCTTTGTTTACCTCTTAACAAATACCTTTACCTGTTTAACAAATAACAATGTTCAATGAAATTGGAAAACTCAGAATTAGTCATACTACAGACAGAATTTTCATCGTTTTTAAACTGGTTTATAAAAGTTTCGTTAGGGACCGTTCATTATTTATACCTGGGGTTGGTACCGAAGAGAAGCGAAAAACACTGTAATTTTTTTATTTACCCAACCTCAACATTGGTCAAAATAATGTTTACCCAACCCATGTGTTACTGTACTTAATAATTAAACACACAAGATTATTTGGTGACAGAAATCAAGTTGCCTAAATTTTAAAAGCTCACCCAGACTCAAACTCACTGAGTGTGCCAATGGAACCACGTTCCTGCTGATCAATAATAGAGTCCTTCCTCAATCACTGATAGTCTACTTTGGTACAGAATGTATTGTGCACATTTTTCTTCATATTTTCCAATGCATGGTAATTTCGGTTTTATTTTATAGCTGACAGACAGCCACAAATTTTTTTACCCAACCCATGAGCTAGTCAAAAACTTGATTACCCAACCCATATCTCTTCGGTACCAACCCCGGGTGTAAATAATGAACGGTCCCTTAGAATGTACGAATTAAATCTCGGGGAAAACCCCGGGCCCTGGCCGAAAGAAATCAGAAATGTATACTCGCTGTGATGTCAAATGTCAATATTTCGTTAGTTTCGCTCAGTATAGTTTTCTAGCAACTGAATTGTCTCTAGGTTTAGAAACAATTATCAATGAAACTAGAATTCAAGTAAGTCACAGTTCTCTTTCAGGCCGACCCTGGGTCACTTTGCTCAAGGCTATGCTTCAAGAATTTATATTTATTTCTTATTGTATAAAAATATGCGAATATTTTGATATAATACAAAACAATTCAGCGCAAACAGCTGTAACCCATTTGAACGTCTCAGTTATTTAATCAATGTTATTCCTTTTTTCAGTAACAATTAGAAAGGTTCTGGAAATTAGAATTAATATATATTCTTCTTTCCGACAAGCTTTAAAGGGTGACAAATTTGCAAGTGATAACTAATGTCATTCTTACACGCCAGCAACTTCGAAGAACAGTCTACTGTGTCTCGGAATTTTCCACACTCAGAAGTAGAAAAGGAACATTTCTACATTATTGCTTACGGTGATTTTCATCTGTCAACATAAAATCTACTGTCTGTCGAAATCGTTTAGGTTTACCTAACGTTGCGTGATCACAAATTGCGGCTGTAGTAGAAGTAGAACACCGTTATTGTAAACACAAAAACCTCGTGCAATATTTAATTCAATACAAAGAAAGAGAATTCAGAGAGCAACGAAGACAACGAAACATTTCATGACTTTCATCGTCATTTGATTGACATGTTTACGCTCAGCGAGTACATTTCTTTCGGTTAGGAGTTTTCCCCGAGATTAATTCGTACATTCTATAAAACGAAACTTTATATAACAGTTTAAGGTAAACAAACCAATGAAAATTATGTCTCTAGTATGACTAATTCTGAATTTTCTAATTTCTTTGAGACATTTTATTTACAGGAGGTAAACCAAGCGAACAGAGTGAAGTTCGTATGTCACAATCAGGACTCATGGCATTGAGGCGCGCAGAATTCGAACACACTGGACACACTGGCATTGAATGACTATCCTTGAAGCCAAACTGTACAGTCAAACAATTTCATTCGAGTGCAAAACCAAAGAATAATGATGAAAGACATATATTTACATAACGAAGCTGCATTCAGTGTAGTGTAAGGTGGTTTTATTTGTTAATATCAAGAATTATGTTTACCGAAAAAGTATGCTCGATTTCGACACATTTTCAAATTTTACAAAGTTTGCGCGCTTGTCATTTTTGTCAAATGGTAGATCAGAAAGATATTATTGGCGATTTGTGTTAACTAATGGGCATATTGTAAACACTGGACTGGACTTTGGACTTTGGACTATGGACTTTGGACTTTGGACTATGGACTAAATTTGGACATTGGACTATGGACTTTCGATTTTGGACTTTCGATTTTGAATTATATTATTTTTAAGATTTTTGTATAATTATATTGAAATCTAAACAGAGAACGAAAATTTGCTGCTGAAAAGCGTGCTACACTGCATGCATATGCATGATATAATATTCAAGGTAAAAAATACTATCAGTTATATATAGGTATACCAATGCAACTCAGTAATATTTTTGATTTAATATTTAAATTTTATTATAATATTTGCATTTATAGTATCATATAGTACAGTTTATACTGCAGAGCTTCTTCTTATCAGATAGATTTATAGAAACAATTGTGACAAAAGTATCTTGGTAAATACAAAATATTGAGAAACCATGGGCGTACCGGAAGGAAAAAATTAGGGGGCGGAAAGAAAATTGCCCGACTTTTCGGGATTCTGCCCGACTAGTACCAAAAATTTTTTTCCGGAAAAATTATTTTGGCGACCTCCCCCCCCCCGTCGCCAAAAAAAATTCGGTCAGTGTACCATTTTAGGGGTCAAAAAAATTTTCCGAACAACTAATATTTTTCGGAACATAACAGAAATTTTCGAAAAATCACAAAATTTGCCACAAAATTGACTTAATTTTAGACAAAATTGACAGAATTTGTCCCATTTTTTTTTATTGCAAACCAAAATTGCCCGACTGTTGATCGAATATTGCCCGACTGCCCAAAAAACTGGGGGGGCTACCGCCCCCCCCCCGCCCGGTACACCTATGTGAGAAACTATAAGTATAAACTACACGCGATTATTATTGCGCCTATTGACTGTATTATGTATCTCTTTAACTGAATTATTCGCCGAAGGCGAGGCCGTGATAATCGGGGAATTTGTCTTGACAGTTGACAACTTGTAGGATTTGTTATATATTTATTCACTTGCGCAAAAATACTAATGCCGGTATTGTTCATCTTTGCATAATAGTTTACACCCGTTTAGCGCCTGCCCAAATAGGCTGTGTTTGCAACGTATTTTGTCCGGTGTCAGTTTTAGCTTTCAGTCATAAATGTATTCAGCGGATTTCAGCCATAGGCAAAGTGAACACGAAAACCGTCTCATAGTCATCATACTTTATAAAATACGAATGAGTAGTATTACAGTAAACATGGCAAATAGTTGCTAGACTACCTGAAGCACATAGACATAGATTTTTGCCTTCTCACACACAAATGAGTAGGTCTTAAAAAGTGTGTAAATTTCCGTTCGAATATTTCTGTCCACTCTTGACTAACACTTATTACCTAATAACTGAAGTCTGAAGCACTTACATAGTGATAAGGATAGCTAAAGAATGTCTTTCAAAAATACAAAACGTTACCGTGGAACGTGTAACCAATTACACAATACAGTACTATAGTTTAAACTATTAATAATTATGCAAAGATGAACAGTCAATATTATAGATACATATATAATACAATACTCAATAGGCGCAATAATAATCGCTTGTATAGTTTATAGTTTCTCAATATCTTGTATTTGCCGATATACTTTTGTCACAATTGTTTCTATACTATTAATCTATTATCTATATGATAAACTGGACGAAGTTCTGCAGTATAAACAGTACTATACATACTATAATTATAAATACAAATATTATATAAAATTTAAACATTATAAACTCCCAAAATATTGGATAAACCTGCTATCCTACAGGCTATATCTATGAAATAGCACTGCTGGTATACCTATATATTTAAACTGATACTGAGTATTTTTTACCTTGTATATTATATCATGCATGTGCATGCAGTGTAGCACGCTTTTCAGCAGTAAATTTTCGTTCTCTGCTTTAGATTTTAATATAATTATACGAAAATCTTAAAAATAATACAATTTCAAAATCGAAAGTCCAAAATCGAAAGTCCAAAATCGAAAGTCCAAAATCGAAAGTCCAAAGTCCATAGTCCAAAGTCCAAAGTCCAAAGTCCAAAGTAGTCCAGTCCAGTGTTTACAATATGCCTTAACTAATGTTAGTAGTTTATAGAAAAGTTAAAGTCATTTGCCAATCAAGTGCCACGATTTTGAAATAAGCTTTCGAAGTTGACATATTTTGAGACGATATCCTTTATCCGTTCAGGAGGGTCAATAACTGCGCTGTTTTCTATTTTATACCAAAGAATAATTATATAAGTCATATCACCCGCGAAAATAGAAGGATAAGTCTATATTTCTGAGCAAAAATTTTGAAATTTAGGTATGAATTTGATTTAAAAAATAGAGCTGAAAATATGTCGATATTTGGCCTTCATTCGGAGTATCAAGTTGGTTACCAGTCGATCGAACATCAATCACCCCCAAAAATAATTTAAAGGAAATTTGCGTAAAATGACATCGATTTTAGTTGTTCCCAAGCATAGATCTTCAAAATACTAGAGTATGAGAGAAATCTATTTTTGAGCCCCATACTGACTTGGAGGTTTTTACGGAGACAGCCTCTTAAGCCTGCACGTTTGGTGACAGTTTAATATTGAAAGCGTAAAAATCACTCGGTACTGATTACGATATGGGTTACGGATCGACAGTAGCGTAGCCAACCTGACGATTTAGGGACCGCTTGTTATTTATTGTACAGGGGGATTGAGGAGAAACTGGGGGGGGCTTTGAATTTTTTAAAACCTGAAAGGGGGGTATAAAAAAATACAGAGAGACGAAAGAAGGGGGGCTTCGAAAATATTTACCAGTTTGAAAAACATTGGTAGTTTTAAAAATGTATCACAAAACAACTTAACAAATAACAATGTTTATAAACCTTCAATATTCATAAATGGAAGCCAAATAAAAAGTCTCTTATGTTCATGTAAATAGACAATCCCCATTATAGACTAATTTTAGAACTAGGCAAAGAGATGCAAATCAAGGCCGGATTTTGGTGAAAATAGTGGGGGAGGTGGAAAAAATTTTTAGGGGAGGTGCAGCGGTTAAGCTCACAACTCCCATGGAAAGTTAGGGCTTATTGTAGAACAGGCCAATATCAATTATGAATGTATATGACTCCAATCTTGCCCTTCATTACAATTGCTACAAAGTTTCTTTCAAAACATTGCATTAAAAGAGTACTTGACACAGAGATGAATGGCTACCACTGTTTCAATTTTACAGAGAAAATTTTCTTACGTCACGAAGTGTAGATCCTAAGCAACCATCACATTTTCACTTTGTTCCATCATTGAAACGTTCCCAATGGGAGGTGCATGATCTTTCAGGAGAGGTGGAAAAATTCTCAGGGGAGGTGCAAAACGATCTCAGGGGAGGTGCGCTCCTCTCCACACCTCCCCTCAAAATCCGGTCTTGATGCAAATAAATCACCACAGCTAGAAAGATCATACTAAAATGAGTAAATTATTGCAATGTTTGGTTGCGAAATGTTGTAAAATACGGAAAATATAGCCTTTCAAAATTTGCAAATTTTGTATACTTTTGAATTGCATGCGAAAATTGCAATACAAAAGTATACAAAATTTGCAAACTCTGGAAGGCTATATTTTCTACATATTATACAACATTTTGCAACCAAACGTTGCAATTTTACTAATTTTAGTATGCCCTTCCCGGGAATATACTTTTTTTGCTAAGAAAAAAATTAGTCTATAATGGGAATTGTCTATTGGTCCCCATTATCTATTTTTGTTTCTCTAAATAAAGAGCTAGAGTTTTTGTTTCTCTAAATGAAGATAAAGAGCTTGAGGGGGGACCAAAATTTATGTTCTTGTTTTGGTTGTTGGGGGGGGGGAGCTTTGAAAATTTTACTTGTCTAAGAGGGGGGCAACGAAAAAATATTATAACTGTAGAGTTTCTCCCCAGTCTCCCCTTGTACAATAAATAATGAGCAGTCCCTTAGTCCCGCTATGCAAATATTTCGTGTTCATTGACTGTGAAAACAATCAATTGATATGAAGAAATGAATAATGATAGTAATTTTGAATTTGCATAGCGGGACTAAATTGTAGGGCTGGTTACGCCACTGCGTATCGAAAACTTTGCCAAATATAAATATAGTTACGTGTTTTTTCCTAAACGAAAAGAATTATAATTATTTAAGCTGATCCACTAAGTTATGTTTCATTGGCAATTTTCGTGAGTTCCAGGAACAAGCCGTTTTCCTTGTTGAGTAGAACATCTGGTTTGTCAAACTCAACAATTGAACCTTGATCCAACACCATAATTCTGTCGCACTCCTGAATCGTAGCCATACGATGTGAGATTGTTATTACTGTACAATCTTTAAACACGCCGTGAATAACATTCTGGATTTGTTCAGCAGTTTTCTGGTCTACCTTCCCAGTAGCTTCATCAAAGATTATAATTTTGTTTCGTTTCAACAAAACTCTTGCAAGATGAAATAACTGTCGTTGACCAACGCTAAAATTTGAACCACCGCCAGTGCATTCGTTATCGAATTTTTTTGGTAAACTTCCAACGAGAATGCCCATTTGCACCTGATCCAAAACATTCCATATTTTAGAATCATCAAGTTCACCTGTCGGATTCATGTTCTCTCTGATGGTACCATTAAATAGTACAGGAGACTGAGAAATAACAGAAATCCGTTGACGAGTAGATAGGATATTTAAACCTTCAATACTTAAACGATCTATAATAATATTTCCTTCAGTTTCGCCAATTCTCATCAGTGCAGCAACCAAAGAAGATTTACCGGCACCTGTCCTTCCAACAATACCAATCTTCTGAGCTGGATTAATTTCAAATGACAGGTCCTTCAAAATTATAGGTCCCTCTTTATAATGTCGAAGTGAAACATTGTTAAATTGTATGATTCCACTTTCTGGCCAATCTTTAGGAGGCTGTTTCTTGATCTCCCGTCCCTTCTCTGGTACGATCTCAGTGTAAGCCAAAATCCGTTCAGCAGACGTCATCTGAGCATGAACCTCCACAGCACTACGTACCATGCCTGAGGTGTATCCAGAAGAGCGAAACGCGTACAAAATGGTCACTGCACCAACAACTAAAATGATCAAAAATCGAACCGCATTATATTTCTGACACTATAATGTTTATTTATCTTGAGTGCGCTTAACTTGTATCTAACTGTAAACTTTTATCATAACTCGAAATCTAAATCCCTGTACGTAGTGAAACAGAAATAAATTTCCTGCATGTTTCTAGGTACTGCATCCTAACCTGGAACCGCGGGACGTTTTCAATAGCTAATTCGCCTCTTTTTATGCTATTACCTTATAATATTATGATTGCGGGCATTCCCTTTGTTGTCGCAGGGCCATTAAAAACCAATTAACAATAAATAATGGTATAAATTAAATGGTATAATTGTTTTCCATGTCTTTGTTTAGTTTTGGCGATTTCAGATATCTTCATTTATATTCATTTCTTCTAATCGTACCCGCTTTGACGTCGTATCGGGTAGGACTAGAACTAATCCTACCTGACATGACGTAAAAGCGGGTAGGATTAGAAAAAATGAATATAATGAGGTGTATTAGTTTTTAATTGCCCTGCGAGAACAAAGGGAATACCCGCAATCATGATATTATAGTAGTAATGCATGATAATCACATATGTAATCTTAGTCTTTGTGCTCCAGCTGCACTGTGAATTCTAATATTGACATTTGTGTTTTTACTGAAACCTGGCTGAAAGATGTTGGCTCGGTTACGATTGCCGCTCTTTCTCCTAATGGTTACTGTTTTCAAAATTCGCCCAGAGAAAATGATAGATCAGGCGGGGGAGTTGGAGTTATGTACAAGAGTATAATGAGAACTAAGTTGATGGACGCTAATCAGTTCAGATCGTTTGAATTTTCTGAGTGGAATGTAACAATTCAAAATCAAGTTATTAAACTTGTTGGTGTGTATCGTCCGCCATCCTCTACTAACTATCCTCAACCCGTGAGTTTGTTTTTTGAGGAATTTTCTACCTACCTTGAAAGTATTGTAATATCAACTGAGAGGTTACTTATTTCAGGCGATTTTAATTTCCACGTAGAATCTACTGACGATACTAATGCCAAAAGATTCTGTGAGCTTTTGGAAACATTTGGTTTAACCCAACATGTTGCCTGTCCAACTCATACTTCTGGACATACTCTAGATCTTATAATATCTAGATCAATTAATGATGTGATTATAACTGAATTAGAATCTACATTGGCTTTATCTGATCATTCGTTCATCGAGTGTAATTTGAATATGCCTAAGCCAAATTTTGTTGTTAAGGAACTTCGATTCCGTCAGTTGAAAAGGATAGACATTCCCATGTTCAAAAACGATATTTCCGGGTCTGAATTATGTGTCAATTCCTTTTCGGATATTGATGAGTTTACACGTTGTTATGATATGACTTTGTTAAATCTTCTTGATAAACACGCTCCTATTAAGACGAAAAAGATGGTTATGAGACCTGTTGTATCTTGGTTCACTGATGATCTTAAAAAGCTTAAAGCTGAACGACGGAAATGCGAAAGAAAAATGCTTCAATCTGGTTGTTCCCATGATAAAGAGCTTTATTATAAGACTAGAGATAAATACAGTGCCCTTCTTCGTAAAACAAAGACTAGCTATTATTCTGATTTAATTGACAAATGCTCAGGCAATTCTAAGAAATTGTTTCGTGTTATCAATTCATTGTCCAAACAGAAGTCATCTGAAAGTTTACCACCTTATGAGGATCCGTTGATTCTGGCAAACGAATTTGGAACATTTTTCGGTCGAAAGATTGAACTTATCAACGATGAAATTAATAAGATTGATGTTAACCCAATAACTACTGAACATCGTTTACCTGAAGTATTGCTTAAATCCTTTTCTGCTGTGTCGCAAGATGATATACGAGGAGTTATTTCGAAAGCATCAAATGCCTCTTGTCAACTTGATCCAATACCAACTTATTTGCTTAAGGATTGTTGTGATGTTCTATGTCCGATAATTACAAAAATGATCAACATGTCGCTGGAGAAAGGAATAGTTCCTGAAAATTGGAAATTGGCACTTGTAGATCCCCGTCTTAAGAAACTTGGTATGGATTTAGTGTTTGAAAATTTTAGACCTGTTAATAATCTTCATTTTCTTGCAAAGGTAGCTGAGAAAGTTGTCATGTCGCAATTAGTTAATCATTGTAACGAAAATGCACCACTGCCTGTCAGTCAATCAGCATATCGTCAGTTCCATTCAACTGAAACTGCGCTGCTCAAAGTGCAGAATGACATACTTATTAATATGGACAACGAAGAGGTTACGTTGCTTGTTATGCTCGACATGAGTGCTGCCTTTGACACTATAGACCATAATATTCTTACTGATATCCTCAAGAATGATTTTGGAGTAGTGGACAGCGCACTTCAGTGGTTTAGATCGTATCTGGCTAATAGAAAGCAGCAAGTTGTCATTGATCGGTGTAAGTCCTCCGAGTTTATGGTTGCTACTGGAGTTCCCCAAGGCAGCTGCCTGGGTCCTGTTCTATTTTTACTTTACGTGTCTGGCCTTTCTGAGATTATTTCTAAACATCTGCCCTGTCATCATGCTTATGCAGATGACACACAATTGTATCTTTCTTTTAAACCTCAGAACTCATTGCATCAGGAGGCAGCTGTTAAAGCAATGGAAGACTGTATTGATGAGCTTCGAAACTGGATGTGTGCACATCGTCTTTTTATTCAAAGTAGCAAGACAGAATTTATCATTATAGGCTCTCGTCAGCAATTATCGAAGGTATCGATTAACAAATTGCGGGTAGGAGAAGTATCGATTTCTCCAGTAGGCGCTGTTCGTGATCTTGGGTCTTGGTTAGATACTCATATGTCCATGAATTTGCATATTAGCAAAATCTGCAGCAAGGCCTTTCGAAGCCTTTACCATATCAAACAAATTAGGAAATACTTAACTGACGATGCTACCAAAATTTTAGTTCATGCATTTATTACATCCCATTTGGATTATTGCAATTCTTTGCTGTATGGAATTCCAAAATATCAATTAAATCGATTGCAGAAAGTGCTAAACGCTGCTGCTCGTGTTGTATGTCTCGTACCTAAGTTTGATCATATTACACCTACATTAATGAGACTGCATTGGTTACCGGTTAAATACCGTGTTATATTTAAGATCGTACTGTTGGTTTATAAAGCTCTACATGGATTGGCTCCCAAATATATTCGTGACATGTTGACTTATAAACAAAGTAATAACTACTCGTTGAGATCGGACGAACTAGGGCTTCTTCATGTTCCAAACACACGTAGAAAGTCTTTTGGTGATCGTGCCTTTTTGAAAGCAGGACCTACTCTATGGAACTTAGTACCGTGTGAGATTCGGCTTTCACCTTCGTTGGATTCTTTTAAGACAAATCTTAAGACATTTCTGTATAGAGATGCGTACATTAATAATACTTCTTGTTTTTAAATATTTTTAAATAGATGCTTATTGTACTTAAATGTTGAGTAATAACGTAGGGAAATTTTAAAATTAGCTTCCTATTTTATGTAACTAAGCGCTTTAGAATATTGTATAGTTTTAGCGCGGTATAAATTAATAAATTATTATTATTATTATTATAGGTAATAGTATCCAAACTTTAAAATGTCAAAGGATAATGTTAGTTGTGCCAACACATAAACTTTTCAATTAATTAGGGGCTTTGGCCGCAACAGTCAGAGCAACGCCTTTCACCTCTGAAATCGTGGGTTCGATTTTCACTACGAACTCACGCATGACACTTATGCAAAAAGAGTCAGTCAACGCTCTACTGAAAGTCGTGGGTTTTCTCCGGGTATTCCGGTTTCCTCCCACAGGGAATGTCGACAGGGTGGGTTGGGACTATCCCCCAAACTGACCCTTCCACCGTAGCTGTGCTCCGTGATCAAAGATGAATAATAATGTGGCTACCATAGGCGCCCTTAGAAATCCTTCGATTCGATCAGGTTGAGCTGCGTCCTTCGTAATTTAGCTTAGCTCTAATCCGCAAGTAAGGATGATTAGCACACCCCACTTACTTACTTAACTATATCGTCAAGTTTAAGGAATACTAAATTTGCGTTGATGAAGATGAAGACTGATATGCATTTCATACCTGCTGTTGAGGAAGTTAAATGGCAGAAGATCGTCCAAGTTATTGATGTCTTGTGAAAACCTGTTCAGTATTCGACCTGCAGAATTCACAGCATAGAAATGACTAGGGGCTTGAAGTAAACAAGCAACCATCGCATTGTGGACTCTGTAGTTAGCTCGAATCGGTAGAAGAAATATGCATAACCTTGACAGAATCACTATCAATATTGTGACCACCAAAGATACTGGATAGATAATTAACGCGTGGTGAAACTTTTGTTCTTCGTTTACAATATTTGGTAATGACGAAACTTGGATATCAACCCATACCGTGAGACCTACGAAAAGGAAACATATGTAGCAATTATTCACTGATATCGTTGTGAATAGTACAAGGATATTCACATAAGTACGAAGCGCTGAGGCGAATAATTGTGTTAACATATACCACAACAAAACAAAAATGACTAAAAAACAACGAAAATATTTTTTAAACAGGTTCGTATTATAGTTGTAAACAAATTAAACAGCATTTACAAGGTTTTGGTAATTTTATTCTTTAGAAATAGCATTATAGAATACCTCTACACACTTTTAAAAAAATTAAATTTTGTGGTATTTTTCTGTTTGGCGAATCGGCAGGTTCGTTTAGTACAAAAATTTGCTCGTTTGTAACCGGAACGATACGGGAAGCTATTTTGTTTTTGTTCGGATGTGAAAAGTGCAAGGCAACCTCGTTCCCACGGCTTTCGTGTGAGGACGAAAGGAGAGACGAGAAAGCCCTGGTCTGAGCCGGTCAATTTTGCATTCTGATTGGCTAACACCATAATGTCGAAAAATAGCAGAACTTCACAATAACAATTCAACATGATTGTTGTGTACGAGTATATTTTGCAAAATGATCTTTCAAAGTAAGAAGGTGAATTGTACGTGAGCAATGACCGTTTTCAGTTTTCATGACTGCATGATTTACTCTCGCCTCGGCCGGTTACTAAACTCAAAAGGCGTCTCGACGTGAGCAGTGATATGTCCTGACAAGACAAGAAACGTCTACTATTATAAAACTGTAGTTTTACAGTTTCAGAATATTCCGAATACTTGAAAATTGCGATTATACGATAGAATAAAACAAAGATTGTGAAGAGGATAAAATTTGTAGGCAAGAATTGCTCCTGAACAGCAAGTGTTGGTGTCGAAACAAGCGAATCCGTATATTTCCTGTACAGCGTAAACAGGTTATGCGAGGTCTTATATTTGTTGTTTATTTATATCGAACTAAGTCTACGAGCATATTAGAACTAAATATTAAAGGCAATAGCCATATTGTTTAAGAAAGCAAATTTCGTGTGAATCACCACTTGGAGACGCCTAGAGCAGCTTGAAATTGAATACAATTGAGCCTTTGGCTTTGCCTGTCACTCTGCTTGAAAATCTCCAGAAATATCGGTACATCTTACAAAATAATGACGGTGTCTTCAGAGATCTCAGCTGATTCGTGCAAAACTTCGCCACACATAAATAATATCGACTGAGAAGTGTTTTGGCTGTTTATTTGTTTCGAAGACTTGTATATTTTAGTTAAGAATATTTCGCGACTCCTTGACGAGTAGCTGTCAAGTATACCCATATCACGTGACCGGCGCAGACCAGCGCTTTCTCGTCTCTCCCCTCGTCAGACTAGTCCCAAGTCTTCTGTGCACGATTTTGATTTCCGTGACGTCACCGGGCGAAACGCGCGCAAGAGGACTAGCACAAATTGTTTGCTAGCCTACAAAGCAGGCGCTCGCGGGCTTGGTAAATCCCGCAAATGTTTTCCAATATGGCGGAATTCTAGAATATATAAAATTGTATAAACATGGAAGAATATGCCGAATATTTACAGGTAAACGTGAGTATTAAGGATATAATAGTTGTGCAATGTAAATAAAACATAACTACTTACATGTAAGTTAAAGTTCTTTCAGGAATGACATAAATTTAAAGTATATTGTACATATTTAGTGAATAGTTTATTACCCTGATCTGTCGGCTGAGTTCACTGCTTGTTTTATATATGTTTTTATGTTCTATATATCAACAATTATGTTTTCATTGTTGTAATTGTAGAGCAAGTTAATACTAACCTTATGCACCTCCTATCAATGTTAACCCCGACGGGGCGGGGGGTCGGGCAAAGGGTCGGGCAAAGGGTAGGGATTTGATCAATCAGGTGGTCCCATGGGTCGGGATTTGGACTGACACTTTTTTCTAAGTGGCCCGAGGGTGGGGATTTTTGACAGATTAACACTGATCTCAGACGGTATACTGAAGAAACCTGAGCCAATTTTTGAACAAACTGAAGACTGAGCACTAGTTCATCGCTCGCTGTCTCGCACGTTGTTTTCGCACTTTTTTATAAACAACGTTTTTTCACTGTTTTGATAAAATTTTATTTTTCCTTACTTATTACCGTCTAGTGCATTCTAAGCTTAGCCAATCAGAATTCAGCACGTTACTTAAGCGAGCCGTGCGTTATTTGTATAGATCATAAACTCGTGATATTTGCAAAATTTCGACTTCCAAATGTTTGGGAATAAAAATAACTCGCCTAGGCAGCTCGTGGACACTTTTTGTTTTTACCACATATGACGACATACTGTGTATTTATAACTGAAATGACAACGGTTAAATGTAATCTATTTGTTAATTAGACCAAGCGGTTTTGCATATTGGCACCAGCACAAATTTACTAGGACATACAAAACAAACCTTTCATTCATACTATTTTCTCTTCACTGTACATCAACCTAGCGGAAGAATAGGTCTTTTCCGAATACGCTCTAATTGTAAAGAACAATAACACCATGTCGAAGCTTAGTGCTAACTAACTGTAGAAACATTATAATTTAGCACGAAACCTCGTCCTGAGGCCATTACCTGTGAGTATTCAACCGCAATTCGGAAATGGCCTATTAAATTGCATTCAGCACACACTCCAATGAAATGAAAATATTATTCGACGTTTCTTCATGTACTGTATATTCCTATTTTTCACCCTGCTCGGTTTCCTTTGTTCTTGTCGGGGAATATATTCAATATTCCCCTCTAATCAATTTCCGTTTAATAACCCCTCTAATATTCACCTGCAATTAATAATCCCTCTAATATTCACCTGCAATGTCTTTGCAGCACAAAAAATGCGAAAAGACAACATCGCGAAGGCAATATGGCATTAAGAATTATTTCTTTTCTGACTCATTAACGCGACCTCGCAGTGTGAAAAATAAGTACGTTATTTTGAGGCACCTCGGGGATATGTGTTTATTCACCTCGGCGCTGCGCGCCTCGGTGAATAAATCACATATCCCCTCGTTGCCTCAAAATAACCTATACATATCATCATATACATATGGATATTTACGCAATATAAATAACAAATTATTCATTATTATTATTATTATTATTATTATTATTATTATTATTATAGTGGAGTTTATCGTACCTTGTCCAGCCAGAATGATCAATAAAATGAGTAAAAGCATCAACGCTGGGGCACCAAACATGAAATACTTTGCATCAACATTAAAAGAAACGCTTCCTACTTCACGATCTTCTTCAGCTTCACGTAACTGTTCAGCTCCTGCAAGATCAATATCTCTTTCAGCATCTTCACTCTCTTCCTCTGTCTCTACAGTGCTCTCTTTGTTCTTATATACCTCTAGTTCTGGTATATCTTTCTTTACTTCTTCCAGTGTTCCCTGAGCAACGATCGTACCTGCATTGAAAAAATTTAGCATTTCCAGCCATGCAATTCGCAATAATTTTGGATTGTTACTCTCAGTGATGCATAATCTAGCTATATACCATATACGAACGCGCTTCGTTAGAAAAAATGCATCTTGGTAAGAAGAAGTTTTAGAGTTACAAATGTATGGAGTAATTTGGCAAGAAAGACAGAGCCCATGTAACCCCTTACCCCTAGTGTTTGGACCACTCAAGTAATGGTCCCATTTGTCCGAAGATTAACTTCAGATGAATGTTTTTAATATTCCCCTAAGCAATGACATTGTTTTACACTGGAAGCTCATTCTGTCTACAGGCTGAATATATAAAAAGTTGTGTCTTGTGCCAGAGCCTCTCCCCTTCTTCCTTACCAGTTTGCACTTTTCCAATGCGCCACCTCTTATCTGGATATATCGCGGAAGTGGCTGAGGGGCTGAAGCGAACTCGGCAACCCCCAAATAATTTTTACGACGTTTTTTACGACGTGACTATAGACATGCATTTTTGCGGTTTGTTTGGGCAGTAAGTAAATTCTACGTAATTAAAACTTATCTAAAGATACCCATTGTATTATGATCAGTAGGTTGAAACATTTCAGACCAGAAAAGCGTGAATCGAAATCAACAGGCTATGCATCATAAAGTACGTATTCTAAATCATTTCCAGAACGCAGAGTTTTGCTCCGTATAATCGCCTGGTTCGATTTGTTTTTTCATTACTTTTCAATTATTTACTTATAATTCTCTATCTTGGAACCAAATACAATGTTGTACTATTCCGTATTCTGAATGCATATTTGAACTTGGTAAGAGCAGCGGCGTCATGTAGGTTCAATCTGTGCTGCAGGATTACGACCCATTTCACAATTAGAGGCCCCCTCTAACGAATTTTTAAAAAGACCAAAGTTAGGTTTCGTTAACACGATAAAAACAAACAAAATGGAGGCATTGGACAGACTCACATCTTTTTTATCTGTGCATGTGTGATACCCAAAGCAGGAGGGACTCCCAGGAGTTTTGAGTGAACATTAGGGAACAAGGCATATTTTGCAATGGAAAAAGTCAGAGGGAACAATTAAACATGTAAGCTTGGGGAACAAGGGAACATAGTGAAATATGTTTTGAGAACAGAAGAACAAACTTTTGAAGTGAACACGGGAGCAAAAACTCCCTGGAAGACCAGTGGCGTAACGTTAAAGCAGGGGGCCCCCGGTTCAAAATTTTCGAAGGCCCCCTAGTAGAAGTGCCAAAGGCACGAGTCGAGCGCCGTATATGCAAGAGTTTTCTAGGGGGTCCAGGGCATGGTCATCCGGAATTTGAATCTAGACTCTCTGAAATGCCATTTCTTGGACTTTGGGGAGAGATTTTACAGAATTCTGATGGTCAGAAAACGACATTGTAACATATCAGAAGCCCTGGCCAATGTTTTTGCTCTATCGCCTAAGCCTGGGGGCCCCCATTGGGGTTGGGGCCCCCGGGTTCTCCCGGTCTGAGCCCATAGTAGTTACGCCACTGTGGAAGACCCTCAAGGAGGTCATTAGGACAGCATAGATGTTTTTAAATAGTTTGTTTTATAATTTAACTAACCTTTTGCCAACTTCACGATGTAGTCAGCTTGGGATAAATATTGAGGATTGAGTGTAATGGCAAAAACGATCCGTTCTGATAACAATCCTTTGAAAACATTGTTGAAAATATTTTCTGCTACCTTGGTATCTAAAGAACTGAAAGGATCATCCAGTAGATATTTATCAGCACGTGAGAACACTGCGCGTGCTAATGCGATACGTGTCCGCTGTCCACCACTCAATGTTGCACCGTATTCTCCAATATGTGATAGATCCTGATCTGGGAATCTTTTGAAATCTCTCTCCAACTGACAAGCTTTGATGGTGTGCGAATACCATTCTTCGTCATACGCTAAGCCGAATAATATATTCTCACGAATGGTGCCGGGAAACACCCAAGGCGTATCCGAAACATACGCAATGTTTCCAAAATGTTTTATAGATTCCTTGACCAAATGAAGTTCTCCATGAAGAATACTTGAAAGCAGTGACGACTTTCCACTGCCAACTGAGCCAGTTATTATAACTAATTTCTTGGATGATATTGTGATAGAAATGTCAGTTAAAAGTGTAACATCTTTCATTTGTGCATTCGAAGCATCAGATGTGAGTAGTTTGCAAAATACGTTATCCAGGCAAACATTAGGAGTTTCGCTAACTACCTCCGAAGACATTTTATCATCGCTTAATTTCTCATCTTTTTCTGACACCTCTCGTTTGGTAGGCGGAAGTTCATTAATGGTATCATGTGTAGCATCGTAGCTTTCCAAGAATCGCTGTATCCGAGTAAGGCCGGTGATTATATCCGTACTGAAATGAATAGAAATTGGTATTCGCATGCAAATACTATCACCAATCCCGGCAGACAACACTATTATCGTGAATAAATTATCAAAAGTCAGCATGGAGCGATCAGTGTAGATGAGAACCAGAACAATGACAAAGGTTGCCAGATGTTGTCCACATGAAGTAAACGAAAAGCTCGCAGAAAGAATAATCCACCTTTTAGCTTTATATTTTATTTCTTGCCTAGAAAAAGAAGAGGTGCTTCAGAAAATTTATATTAAAAGTAGTAACGATATTAATCAGTCAAATTAATATGGTTAGTAAGGGCTCGAGATTGAATGTTAGCGGAATCGAATGTCAGAGATTTTTAGCGGAATGACAGGTATACGTGTAATATGAATTTAATCATTCCTTGTCTGTTAAAAGAAACTTACCATCTTGTTCTTTGAATATTTTCCTCGTAAACATGCTCCAAGCAATTTACTTTGACGGAATGAATAATCGTCAGAACTTCTCGAAGATAACCAAGGCGTTTCTCTGAAAGTTGTGAGGCTTTCTTACGATAGTTTATGTCTATATTTGTCATGCATAGGCGAAATGATGCGAGAATCGTAAATACTGCTAGACCTGGCACGAACTTCCAGCCAACAAAATATAATAGCCAAGTAATGTAAATGATGAGTTTAGCTGTTTGTCGAACTAAGTTGGGAAGAAATTGATCTGCCATTGTGACTAAACGATGAGTGTCGTCGCATACCAACTCCATTACCTCACCAGCGTTCATGGACATTTTACTGCATCTCAATACCTTAAAGAACAAAGTAAAAAATAGATTTCTTTTCTGATATATATTTGTCGATAATAGATACAACTCCTCCGTGTATCTCCACCGCAAAGCTTATACAACGTACTGTAATTCACAGTCGAGTCTTTTACCGCGGATGTATCTTAAATACAAAATAAATATTCTCTAATGACATCGCCAACTAAAAAACCTGTGATGAAGCATTCTTATTCTGAAATCGACCTTAAATCGACTGGGAATTACGCCACCAAGATCACGGAAATCCTATACTAAAATAAGTAAGTTTAATTAAGATTTGTTTTTGCGCCGAAACAAAAAAAGTCCAAGGAAAAGATTTGAAAAAATATTTTACTTGGCTTAGCTGGCCTTACCTGTATCTAAATCCTTATTGCTTCTTGCTTGTAAATGTTAAGTAGTTATTACTATGCCGATCAAAAGATTCTAAAGATTGATCAATTTTTATGTTAATTCTGAAAAAAAATGTTTTCATCTTTTCAACATTCAGATAAATATAACGTTAATTTGTAGATATTTTTGAAATTTATTGTTATTCATAGTAATATAATCAACTAATCATGCCAGCTTACTCTTAACACTCTGTACGACAACTATAACTTGCAGGCGCTTCTGTGACAGAATTATCACCTAAGATCGTGGATATCAGTTCTTAATCTGCATTCATGACACTCATGCATGTATAGTTAACAATTATTCACCGAAGTGTAGGTAAATAGTGTAGAGACTATAGTACAAGGATATCCATTGCTGAGTGGGCAACCAATCAAATTGCGCGAAAAGCACTGGCTCCCGAGTATTACATAGCATCGTTCATTTTCCACGGGCTGTCTGGTTTTCTCTCTCGCAGAAAGTACACAGTGCGCAAGTGGAGATTCGTAGAAGTAGATTCACGATCTTATACATGCATGCCTTACCTTTTTATAAATCAAACCAACTAGTGCAGCTCTCGCTTTTATTCCCAACATAGGTAGAATCAGACAGAAATGCTGAGAACCAAGAACTTCACAAAATGATCCTATCATCATATCCCCAATAAAGACAAGATATTCGTTCGGAGAATGGGTACCTTGCTCTAAATTACTGCCGATTGCTCTCATCAAGTTCGTAACAGAATAAAAACACATCCCAGTCCCAAAGACATTTACAAGGATTAAAAAATTAACATGCGCATGTTCTTGCCACGTGAAATATTTTATCATTGCTTTCCAAAGTTTTGGCTTTCTATTCTTTTGCCTTGCTGAGATTTTTTCATTATTCCAAATTTCCTCCAAACGTTTTGTCTGATGAGCAGCACTGGCATCTTCTCTGACTGGATCGAGATCTTCTTGATTTAGTGGATTTTTGTTTCTCCTCCACAATAGATCAACAATCCACCAAAGTAAGACTCTAGATATTATGTTAGCTTTGTCTTTTGGATGAAATTTTTTGTGATGCATTTTCGGCTGACGACAGATGGCAGATTTAATAGGCAATTATGTTTTTTTCATTCACTCCATAACATTTCCACGTTTTGTTATGTTCGTTTTCTGCATGAAAGATAAACACAAAAACTCTGTCTTACAATTACGTCATTATATACCTTTGATGAACAAACTAGCCGCATGGCCACAAGAAATACTGTATCCCTACCTTATACCAAGATACTATATATACATAAATAATTGGATACTAATGGCTGTTTTGCGAAATTGAGGGCAAATTCATATCTGTTCAATTTTTTTATACAACGTGTATTTACAGTCATTATACCAATGTCTCCTTATTTTTAAAACTCACTGCCGCGTAGCCATTACAAATTTATCCGCCTTACAGTTAAGTCATTATGCCTGTACGCATATGCGGCTTTTATGGCAAATGCCAATGTCTCGTTCTTTTTAGGCGCTTAGAACATTTTGGTATAGGCGCTATATAAATGTTAGTATTATATGACTTTTCTAAATTCTCTATTCTGATTGGTTGACAAGCGGTCGGTAAAAACCCATATCCGGACCATGGTCCGTATTTTCCGTATCCGGACCGTTGTCCTGCATGTCGTTTATCTGGCTGGAAATTTTTGCTTTGCAAACAGAAAAAAAGTTTGCTTTTTAATTTTCCAATTGTGTGTCATTAAAATTTACAGATAAAAATTTCAAACAACCGAATATTGTTACCCAGTGAAACTGACGATAGCCGATTTAATTCGCGTGAAAAGCATATGCTCACAGACTCAGTTCAGCCATATAATAAACCGATTATTGACCTCGCTTGTTCGGTCTGTACTGTGAAATATCAGTCCTCCCTCTCTTTTTGCATGGATCTCGCTCCTTCGTCGCTCGGTCCATACTAAAAAACCTCGGTCTGATATTTCACAGTACAGACCTCACGCTCGGTCAATAAGCCGTTAGTATTATTATTATTATTTTAAAACTCACCGCGTTTCCGCGTAGCCATTATACCTAGCCGCGTAGCCACTATTTATACCGTGATATGAGGGAAATTAGTGATTAAATGTCCCCGAAAGCCGAGGTAGCTAGGTTTGTAGGAATTCCACAAACCTCCCGAGGGTGAGGGACATTTAATCACTAATTATGATGTTTGTGATGTTACTCTGAGTGTATATCCACACCGGGCAGGGTTGAAAAATATGCCTGGCCACGGTGGGAATCGAACCTACGACCTTTGGAATACTAGCCCAATGCTACGCGGTCAGGTCGGTTCAACACAGAAAAATCATGATTACCAGATTGCAATGATATCGAACGAACCAGACTCAGTTCCGAAATATCACATACTTGAACCGACCTGACCGCGTAGCTCAGTTGGCAGAGCGCCAGCGCATTGGGCTGGTATTCCAAAGGTCGCAGGTTCAATATTCCCACCGTGGCCAGGCATATTTTTCAAGCTTGCCCGATGTGGATATACACTCAGAGTAACATCACATACACCATATTCACCATGAGTACATAACACCAACACAGAAAAATAATCACTAATTAGTTGACCTGCATCTAAGGACGAAAGCGGACATATAGCCTCATTAATATCATTATCGGACGTAAAGGCCGTTTTCCACTAGGCGGAATTTTCCGCGCGGAGCGGAATTTCTCTTTGTCTTTTCTAATTAGTTCCACCCGAGAAATCACAAGACAAAGAAAAATTCCGCTCCGCGCGCAAAATTCCGCCTAGTGGAAAACGGCCTTAAGCATCAGCAAAATTGCTGACTCCTACTCGTTGCCGCTTTTGAATTTGCATGCTTAAGCAAAATAATTGGTTGTTATTGTTTGTTACTGAACGGGACTAGATCCGGAATAAATTGAATGTCGATACATGCATTTCTTTTGTGCATTATGCTAAGGCGGATCTTTGAAACTTATAGCTCGGTCATCGTAGTGAATAGTTATACTCATATGCGCAAATGTTTCTCGTGGCAAGATTCGAAGGGAAGATGGATTCCCCACGATCTTCTCAGATATAGAACGAGGTGTAACTGAATGACTTCGTGTATACAGTTTATTAGTTTATGTTTTGCAGGAATTTGTACATATCGTAAACCCGCAATTTTCTTTACCTGAATAGGCAATGTACAATGAAGTGGAAACACAACCAATTCAAAAAAGGTTGTCCTTTGCAAACCTTAAACTCTAAACCTTAAACCTTAAACTTTAAGCGCACAAAGCTTAATGGGAACACAAGTTTCAAGCTTAGTAGTTGAATATTGCAGCTATTTGTGAATGAATTCTTCTAGTAAGGAGATATTTACCATGCATGTCTCTAAGAATTGGCCCCGAATGTGTGATTTCTAAACTGACTAAATAATGCTCCCATTATGCTTTGTTTGCTTAGAGTTTTCGGTTTAAGGTTTAGAGTTCAAGGTTTGCAATGGACAACCTTTTTGAATTGGCTGTATATTTCATTTATCAAAATCATTTGTATTTAATAATTGCTTTTCCGGCTATAACACTGCCAGCAGATTGCATAGTTAGTACTAACAACTTACTGCGGACGTCGCACAACAAACAACGAAGTGTCGAAGTGATTACTATATATTTTCTGTTTGGTTGCAAAAGCACGCAATTTACGCTCATGCGACTATGACAGGCTACCAATGTAGGTATAACTCTTCAGTACATGCGTGTATAACACTTAGTGAAACCCTTCTATAATAACAGATTGTGCATTTGGATGCATAAACAGCGAAGCCGTACCGAAAATGCATGGCAAACACAATCCTGGCAAATTAAAGCTAATTCCACTGCGGAAAATAAGCAGCGGATCGGAACAAAGCAAAATCCGCGCAAGCGCCATCAGTACAAATTTTTAGTTCCGATTGATCCGGCGACGTTGCTAGCCGGATAATAAAAACCTTTTTTGGTCCTGTCTCACGGATTAAACCAGGGAACCAATCAAAATGCCGTATTATCTCACATAAATTAAAATAATTAAATAATACCTTGACGGATATATTTAAAAATGTTAGATGCGAAACGTTCACTGGTTAAAAATATTTATTTGGACGAGCTTTCGACTGCCAGTCTTGAGAATTCGCTATCTAGTCGAAAGCTCGTCCAAATAAATAGTTTTAACCAAACGAACGTTCAAACGTTCGTTTGGTTAAAACTATTTATTTGGACGAGCTTTCGAATACCTGTCTGATAATACCTGTCTAAAATTTACAAAATGGAGGATAATTCGGGTACTTTCTTGGAAAATTCGAGGAAGAATTTATAAGAATTGGAAAGTACAACACCTCTTCAAATTTGCTTGGCAACATACGAAATTGCCTAAAAAATATTCATTGATCATATTGCTTTAACTCTTTTATCAATAAGTGGTATTTACTTTTTCATTGTCTTTCCTGAAAAATTTTTCTTATCCAAATGCTCTTTTTGTATTTTTCTTGTTTTCTTCTCATTCACTGGAGACGACGTACGAAAATAAAATGAAGGACGCGCTTGTTCAGAGCCGCTGCTGTTTTGAAATAATCACGAAATAGTAATTTGTAAGACTGGAACGAGCTCCATTTTTTCCTTTTCCAATCCGATCATTCCACTTGTCCTTTTACTGGAAATCGCTTGTTGGATTGGATCGGGATCCGCTGCTTATTTTCCGGAGTGGAAATTAGCCTTTAGTTATACTCCGGCAACATATATTCTCGCTTTTTGTCCACCTTCAATACCGGCCCGGGGATGGAATTTGCAGAGGCAAGCAATAATTTAATTTTCGTCCATATCATGACAAATAATCTGCATACATAGGTTGCTTTATAGGTCTTTTATGGTCGCATTAGCATATACTTACTAACATATTAACCAATCAGATCTTGGATTTTGACGAAAGAACACTGAATAAATGAACATAAGTCCGCTTTCGTCCTTAGATGCAGATCAACTATTTCCTGACATATCATGGTATTAGTTTGCAATACCATGATTGGGCGGGATTCTATTGTTCCGAGCGGGAATTTAATTTCTAAATTAAATTCCCGGTCGCGAGCTGGTAATTGATAAATTCCCCGTTGGCAAGGGGAATATTATAACGATATATTTTTAACGATATTAAATAAAATCGAATTAATCGAATGCATTAATCTTGCTGACAATTGTAATTTTCCAATTCCTAACGACAGCGTTGTCGTTTACTGTAATAGCCTTGTCTAAGGGGCGGATCCCCCCAAAATATTGAACTTAGAAAAAATATCGCCTACTGAGAACAAACGGACAAGAAAGATAACAAGCAATGCATTTTTTAATATTTGCCCAGGAAATAAAAAAATCGTTCAAGAGCCTTGAACGACAGAAAAATATGGAGCAGCATTAGGAGGTTTAAAAAATTATTGGGCTCAATGAAAATCTACCCCATCAAATGGTTCGCCCCTGATACATAATATTTCTAAAATCCATATATAGAATAGTGAAAAATAGGCCATTTCTACGTGTGAACCTCTTATAGTATAAGTAAAATGGGGATTATTTCCATTATAAAACAACAAGTCATCACTATTTAAAGTACGAAAATGTCAGCAAGTGAATGTCATTTAATTACCCTGCCAAACAAAAGCTCCAAAACTAAGGCGCATTTTTACAATATTTCCAAACGTTTCCCGAGAAAGATGGCGTATATCCTATCATACATATGTACGTATTGAATGCTGATTATAAAATTTCATGCTAAAAATTCGAACAGGTGAAAACATATTCATTCACAGATCTACAAGGATGTTATACTTTAATTTAGGGCATTATAATTGATTGCGGTAGTAATCATGTGTTTATAAAGTGCTCCACGGTCCACGGTCCGCCGTCCGTCCGCCTTTTATGTACACCCCTTCAAATCTCTCAACTCTATGACTTTGCAAGGTTCGTATATTTTCGATTCGGTGCATGCTATGAAGACAAATATATACTACCATTCGATTCAGTGAAACAAAATCTCTAATTCCTAACGATAGTTAACGTTT